AAGCCTAAATCTATTGAATGAAATTCGTCCTTGTTATAAATTAAAGCTTCAATTGAGATAACTGTTGTACTAAAAAGCTGTTTTAGAAAAAAATCAAAAAAGTTGTCGCAAACGAAGCCTAATATAAGACATATCGCCCGATGTTTTACATATGTAGTAGAATTTTAAAGCCATATTGATGCATTTTACTTCAAATTTAGGCTTCATTTAGGAAGGCTTTCTTATAATTTTTTAACGCAGCTTTCTAATACAAATATTAAAACTTTTGTCCTAAAAAACTATTTTAATAAGCAATAAGAAAGCCGCCCCAAACGAAAATTTAGAGTGATTTTGTATATCCAAAAGGACTTAAGAATTGATTATTGATAATGTGGGAATATGAGTGCCCAAATCCCTTATTATTGTAAGGCTAGATATTTATGACACGATGCCTCTGTGGATGAAGAAGGCCAGAAAGAAATGAACTTATTAAAACCAAGTAGGAAGATCTTGAGATCTTTCTTGCAAGAGATAGAGAGGGAGAGGGAGAGGGAGGGAGAGAGATAGACATCAATTTGGGAGAAAAATACCTAAAGCTTCATTAATTTTCCCCAACCAATACATCATACAAGACCTCTATATATAGAGATGTACAAGGGTGTGGTAGCATGCATGAACAACGTATCCTAAAACTAAATCAATACATAACAATCTCCACCTTGATTTAGTTTTACAAAAAATAAAGAACCACTCGTCACAAGAACCCGAACTTGTTGCAATCCAACCGATCGCCTTGGACACCGATGCGCGCTCCTACCTGCGACTTCGCACGATCCACTCGTGCATCGAGCCCTGCGCATTCACCTACGCTCCGCTCGTCACAATCCCAAGTTCACGACCATCTTGCCTCCACGAGGTTCTTGATGCTTAAACATGCTCCTATAATTCTCCACCTCGATCGAAACTCCACCTGAATATGAATTTCTACCTTCTCCCTCATCTGAGCCCGACCGGCCCGATTGAATAGCCCCTTCAGTAAGCCATGACAGCACCTCTGCTCAGAATCTTCAAGAATCACAAGCAATTCCAAGAAACCCATGCAACAAAAGCTTCCACTAAGAACAAGATCTTTAATCCAAAGCTTCACCTCATCTCAAGATCTTCCTCCTTGGTTTTAACAATATGGTATCAGAGTCCTAGTGGCGATCTTGAAGGAGGAATGTGTTCTTGAGGTGGAGCATTCGGCCTTGGTTACGCAAGTTTGGTCGCAGGATCAGCAGAAGGCGGACGAACGGGAGAGCCGAACTTGGGCGCTCGATTGGAGTCGGACCGAATGGCAAAGGTAGCCGCGTGTGCTGCCTGGGCTGCCTGGCGGAGGAGGTGCCAGGAGAAGCTGGGTAAAGTGCTTGGTGCGGAGACATGCACGTTAGACGCAGAAACGAGGCCAGGGCATTGCTCGTGGGTGAGGAGGCGGAAAGCCAGAGAGCGACAAGGGGGCCGCATTTGTGTTCGCTTGGTGGGAACCTGGCGCAGGCGTTGTTGGATGTGGGATTTCCATAGGAAGATCGACAGCAGGTAAAGAAGGGCTGACAAGTTTGTTCGCGTGAAGAAATCGGAGCAGCTAGACGCATGAGCAGAGGAGCTCACGGGCGCATGTAAGGCCCAAGAAGTCATGCGGCAGGAAGATGCAGAGATGAGGTGAAGCTTTGGATTCAAGATCTTGTTCTTGGTGGAAGCTTCTGTTGCATGGGTTTCTTGGAATTGCTTGTGATTCTTGAAGATTATGAGCAGAGGTGCTGTCATAGCTTACTGAAGGGGCTATTTAATCGGGCCGGTCGAGCTTAGATGAGGGAGAAGGTAGAGATTCATATTCAGGTGGAGTTTCGATCGAGGTGGAGAATTATAGGAGCATGTTGGAGCGTCAAGAACCTCGTGGAGGCAATATGGTCGTGAACTTGGGATTGTGACGAGCGGAGTGCAGGTGAATGCGCAGGGCTTGGCGCACGAGTGGATCATGCGATGTCGCAGGTAGGAGCGTGCATCGGTGTCCAGGGCGATCGGTTGGATTGCAACCAATTTTGGTTCTTGTGACGAGTCGTTCTTTGTTTTTTGTAAAACTAAATCAAGGTGGAGATTGTTATATATTGATTTAGTTTTAGGATATGTTGTTCATGCATGCTACCACACCCTTGTACATCTCTATATATAGAGGCCTTGTATGATGTATTGGTTGGGGAAAATTAATGAAGCTTTAGGTATTTTCCTCCCCAATTGATGTCTATCTCTCTCCCTCCCTCTCCCTCTCTATCTCTATCCCCAATTGATGTAAGATCCTTCACTTGAGGAGGAAGCACTTCCTCTTGATCTTGAGAGAGAGGAGGAGGAGGGATAGAGGAGAGGGGAGGAGATCCAAATACCGAATTCTTATTTCTCTCTTGGCTACTTATATTACAACCTAAAGACCTCTTTATATAGACTCCTAAGGATATACAAAGCAACACAAATGGTTACACTATGCCATACAAGAAACCTAAACTAAAGCAATCCTAAATCTAGGAACAAATACACAATAGAACTGGATTGTGTATCGATATTGTAGTTATATTATGAAAAGTTAGAGTGTGCTTAGACTTCAAGGATCTTATTTGCAATTATGTAACTATGGGTTGCTTTTTTAATGGCCGAGTAATTAGAAGTGTTGGTAAGAGGGAACTTGGTGGATTTTGGGATTATTATTTGTTGCTGTGAGGTAAGTTGTCATTGTAAGGTGGTGAAATTATGGTAATTGTAAAAATATTAGGAGATTGTACTAGGTCTGTAGTAGGATTTATTATTTTGTGCAGAATCCGGAGAGTGTCCGAAGACCAATAAAAATAATTCATGTCACTAAAAAATTGTACCGCGTTCGGTACCCGCGCTCAGTACCGAGCGCTTAACCGGATGGTTTTCCCATCCGGTGTCCGCACGGAATAATAGCTCATGTAGTAGGCACTGAAATGCTTGATAGGGGGTGATGTTGGAACATCCTTGTTATAGCATACCTTAGGAATAACTTATCAATTTCTTATATGCTTTCTAGAAGTTTCTATTGGTAGTTTATATATTACTATTGCATACATCCCACTTCTCTAGCCAGATTCTGTCTCTAGTTTTTGTTGTCTTGTTGCTTTTTTGGTTTGAATATTTGTAACCATCCAACAAAATATTTGCATGTATCTTTCTTGCAATCAAGCAATGAACTGACATGATTTAGGCTGATTTTTGATACATGTGTCATGATGTCTAAGCCTTCTATGGTATTGTTGTCTCAAAATTCAAGAAAATATTGTTGAAAAAAAAAAGATGGCATTATGAAAGCTCTTTCCTTTTCAATCTCCTTGAAACAAAGAAAATGAAGAGATCGAAAGAGAACAAAAACACATATTCTAAATGTAGGAAATACAAATGCATAACTTATGCTTAAATGTTAACTGCGGATTTGATGAATGCATTTCTAACTTTTGAGAGGATTCCATGACCATTACATGCTAGTCATGGATTATTATAAATTCACTTAATTAATTATTAAATAATCTTCACCTCTAATGTGCAATCCAATTTTATTCAAAAAACTTATGTTAGCTTTATTTATTTTTAATAATTATATTATTTATTACTTCATCCGTTTCAATCACAATTCGACCAGTTGAATCATGAAATTCATCTTCTTCTAGTAATTGATCCAGTTTTCACAACCTTGCATATACTACTCAGATACTAAATTCCGTTCCTAGTACACAATAATTATTATCCCTAGCTATGAATATATATGGAGAGAAAGAAAATGCTTTATCATTTACAATAGAGAGAATTTGGTTTCTTTCTTCAATAAATAACACAATTATGATTTAAAAAATATAATATAAAATAAATAATTATTCATTTTTATATTAAATAATAAATCATTAAATATATAATTAAAATTTATAAGTTTGAGGACAAATTTTTCTTTCATTAATATCATAATATGTCATAAGTTCTTTCATATAATAAAATTAAATTTTATTATTTGATTAATCGATGAGAGAACAATGTATTTAATTTTTTTTTTTTTGGATAGTTTTTAGCTCAAAATTTTTAATTAGTAGTTAATACTCCCGTTGAACCTATCATGATAAGCTGCGTAGATTAAATTTTTATTAGTTAAATAGTAATTTTTTAGATCAATGGTTAAATTTTTATTTGAGGTAAAATTTTTTTAAAGACTTTTAAGTCAATTAAGGAAGGCTCAAACACGGGAAATTATTAGGTCCGGTCATCGGACGTAGAGATACATTCGGATACTAGTAAAGTATTATTTTAAGTTAAGCGTGTAAAATGCGTAGGTAAAGCGCAAGTAAAGTGCAGGTAAAGCGTTATCAAAGTACAGTCAACAAATCGTAGTCAAAACACAGGTAAAACGCATTTAAAGTGCAGTCAAAGCGAAGTCGACGTGACAAGTTTTAATTAGATGTCCGGGCCTATTTTTAGATCCAAAGACCAAACCTATTTTTAGATCCAAAGACCGGACCTAATATTTTGCCCTCAAACACATCCTATACAAAGGACTCGCCTTCAAAATATTTTAATTGGTCGTCTAGGCTCTCAACCAAAAAATCAAGGTAAAATCTGAATCAGTTTTTAAAAAAAGAGTATATATATACACAACTCTCCTTGGCCTATTGGTTGAGAGCTTAGGCTTGCAACTAAGAGGTCAAAGATTCAAGTCTATGTGTATGCGTTGTGTGTGAGTTTGCCTTTATTGGCCTAAATGTCAAAAAAAAAAAAAAAAGAAAGAGTATATTAGTATAAAAAAATTAATGTAGACTAAACAAAACACCCACAGAAATGCCCTCCTGAATCCGTGATTCGATGGCCATAGCCAATAAGATGAGAGCACACGGATCCTGTATTTCTGCTTAGCTAACTTCAACCGTTGGATTTCCTCTTCACCGCCTTCATCACGTTTCTACCACCGCTGCGCATATAAAATGTCCCAATTGCTCTTTTTCAACTCGTGTTACGAATTTTTTTACTCCTCTTTGAGCGTGTTCGCCATTAAGAAACCCTAGCTCTAGCCCCTTTCCAACGATGGCCCGTACGAAGCAGACAGCTCGCAAGTCTACCGGCGGCAAGGCTCCTCGCAAGCAGCTCGCCACCAAGGTAACGCTTTCATTCGTGGCTCATCCTCGACTTTCTATGTTTCGTATGCATTCTATTCGTATTCTTATTTCGTTTTTTGTTGTATCCTTAAGGCGGCCCGAAAGTCTGCGCCGACTACCGGCGGAGTCAAGAAACCCCATCGCTACCGACCTGGAACTGTTGCTCTTCGGTAAAGCCATGATCTTTCTCGACATGTACCTTCTGACTTAATTTAAAAACCTGATTTTTATTGTAATTTGGTTGGTCGTGAAGAGAAATTCGCAAGTATCAGAAAAGCACGGAGTTGCTGATCCGTAAGCTGCCGTTCCAGAGGCTGGTTCGTGAGATTGCTCAGGATTTCAAGACTGATCTGCGGTTCCAGAGTCATGCAGTACTTGCGCTTCAGGAAGCAGCTGAAGCTTATCTTGTTGGCCTGTTTGAGGATACGAATCTTTGCGCCATTCACGCCAAGAGGGTGACCATCATGCCCAAAGACATTCAACTTGCCCGTCGCATTAGAGGCGAGCGTGCTTAGGATTTTATTTCCTTTGCTCTGCGATCTTATGCTTTCTGAACTTTTAGGAACATGTTTCGTGGATATCTATAATCCTTAATATGAAAAACTAAATATGCTTATGTTTGACAACTCTACTTTGTTGTGATGCTATGTATTGGTGTTTTGTTAATTTTTTGATGGGTTATTCGTTGAATTCTTTAGTATTCTTATATGGTTATGTTTCTGGATTTTAATTTGTGTCTATTCTTTTCACTTTACAGTCACAATTTTAAGTAGTTCACCTTTGGCGTTGAGTTATGGTAATGGTTGTGTTTTACCTTCTTTGAGAAGAAGCTTACCTGCCATCAATCTCAAAGACGTGGATGTCATTTTCCTGTTAGATTTTATTTTGTCATCTATTTAAACTTCTTGCCAAAAGATTGCTATGAATTATGGCGACTAAAAACATTTGTTGATCTTTAGCGTTATCTACCTAAATTTGAATTTTAAATAAGTAATGGAGCTTCATTGGTATTATTAACTAAGTTAGAAATTTTGAATCCCGTGTTCTAAACGGTGTTCTGTCCTTAACGGTGTGTTTATGATCTACTGAATGCCTTTTTTTATATTAAAAAGGCCAATCGAATGTTCAGTTTCTTGAGATCTTTGAGCAATTGTGCTCCATCAAAGAGGTTTTTGGACTAAGTTCTGTGTGTTACCACTGCACATCAACAACACAGTCTTTGTCATAAAGCTTAAATTATCTCATTCTATATTTGATTTCTGAGGGTAAGATTGCAGACTCTAGTAGACTAGTTTTATCATTCGCATCGTAATTGTTATTTGTGGGATTTTTTTTTTTTGGAAAGAAAGGAATTTGATTGATGAGAAGAGCTATATGAGTGGAAAATTCGAGTCTCATGTTTTCTATGTTCACAATTCTGAGCAAATTAGATGAATAAGTTACTGAATAGCAATTTCTATATTTAGTTTGTGCGCAAATGAGTGCGCAGAATATTGAGATTCATGAATTGTTTTGTGCTAATAACGTTGCCAATATATCCAAGCCTAAAGGTATAATCTTGCCAAGCAACGCTTTTTTTAGGAGCGTTTGGAATTGAAGTTCACCTAGAAAAATAATATTGTTCTCAACATTTTCACTATTGCTTTGCACACCATACAAAAAATAAGAAAAATGTGTATGTAATGCCAATGCAACTCTTTTTTCACTATGCTATACAAATGAGACAAAAATAAGAATAAAACATGATAAAATGAAATCAATGATAATAAAATCTAAAACTAAATTGTAGTCATTAGCTAATAAAATAAAATATTAATCATGGAATTATTAATCATATTAATTATATTGTTTAATAAATCATGAGTTCAATAAGATAACTCATTCATACATTTATGAATATTTTTTAATTATATGTCATTTAATATGTTATGCAATGATATTAATTAAATATGCATTGAAGATCAATCAATATTAAATAAAATATTTTTTGTGGATTGGATCCTACCGTTGAATTAGATTGTAATTTCTAGGTCGTATTGGTGTTGGTGATATCATAGTAGAATAAGTAGGTTCTCTATGACTTCTATTAGCTCATTTTTCATCTATCTTGTTCATAGAGCTTTCATTATATTTGGATCCAACAATCTTCTTTCTATAACCCTAACCCTGCCTAGACTATTCTACTCTAATTCTTGATCTTATTCCTTGTCGCTAATGTCGATAATCAACCATTCAATCTTCTCGTTGTCTAAAATTGAAACATTATTTATTCATCTAAAAACACTATCCAATATGCCTCCTACCACATCGAGCACACTCTCGTACATTTCCTACAAAGGCCTCAAATCATTTCCTGCTATAAGAAAATCAACTATTCCTCTCATTGCCATCCCTTTTAGTCTTATGATCTTCTAATGTCTTCCTACTTCGATCATGTCTAAATGCTAGAATTGTTAAATCATTCTCTACTAATTTTGCTCTCTCAACTAATTCAAAAAATTATTGAATCCTTGATGGAACTAATGGTTGTCTTAGCTCATATGTAACTTCTCTAAAAAATTTGTATCAATTCTCTTTGGCTGTATTGATCAACTATGGAGCATACATTACTAGTGTAGTAAATTTAGCTTCATACAACATCATTTTCTTATTGCCCTGCTCCGTTCTCATAAAAGTCTTATGTATTTGATGTTGAGCTAATAGTGGTGCAAACTAATTTTTTAAAAATAATAACGAATTTTGTCAAGGTTATCTATGCATTCATTTTCCCTAAAATTTCTCCTGTTGTTGTCCTATTCATCATCTTTTTGTTTTTCTTTGAAACAAAAAATCAAAAATACTTCTAGTGACACATTCCTGCTCTCAGGACACTGCATACTATTAAATATCTTTTTTATTCTTAACAACCATTCCTCTACTTCATGTAATTCTACAACTCCCATGAGCAATAGTAGCTTTAATTTATGGAACATATGTAAATGCTTATCTTCATTATTGTCCTCAATTCCTGATTGTTTGCTCTGAGTTTTACATATAATATGATCAACTATGCTAGTAAGTTGTAACATGCTATTAGGAGACACTAAATCTATCATTGCACATCGCTCATTTTGCATATTTTGTCCTATTGGGTCCATTTATCTACTGATAAATATCTCTTTCATAATCAATCAAGCATCTAAACTCAACATACATATAAATTCAGATAAATCAATCAAATATATAAATAGTAGAATATATACTTCCCAACTCCTACCCCACTCATAATCAATTCTATAACTCTTGCTATAATTTAATTCTTATAATAATCATTGCTTTGATATCAATTGTAATGTTACAAGATTTAAATTTTAAAAAATTATTAATTTTTATATCTTAAGTAATTTGTCAAAGTCATTAAATTTCTATAATTTTAAATAAGTTTAACAAAAGCAACCATAAATCATATAAATTTATTTACTCATTACTTAAAAATGCAATTTACAATGGCCAAGAGATTTCAACAATATAAATCTATCATTTTTAAAGCTCCAAACTACAAAAGAATATAACAAAACATAGAATAAAAACCTAAAAATATTAATCATTCTCACTCCAGGGGATCTTGACCGCTTCTCAAACTTGAAATTAATAAAAATTATATAATGAGCTTAGAAAGCCTAGCATATTACCAAAACTCTACTATTTCATTCAATACAAGGCAAAAAAATTAATATGTATGCTCCAGTTCTAGTTAATATCAATCAACAAGCTATAAATATGAATGATACATAATTTATGTCATTAATATCAATCAATAACAAAAATCAATATGATTAGTAAAATAATAATATCTCACTAAGAAAAATGCATATACCAATCTATTTAAAAATTTATAAATATATAACATACGCAGCAATAAAATAAATATAAATTATATATCAATTATATTCATGTTGATGCCTCTATAATATATTTCTATCAATTATTATGCTATTTATAGCCGTCTGTCAGTATGTCATATCAATAAGCTATATCAATATAATTATTATTGTTTAATACTTGCACAACTATTAATGTCTAACAATATACCTATTATATATTATATCATACCATAGTAGTCTCAATACTTCAATCACTCATATATATGTTATCATATAAATGCAAATATGAATACAATTATGAATAACAAGCTAGAACATAAAACTTTAAATGTGTTTTTATCCTTTCTCCTGCCATATCAATCCATCATTATTTATCAACAACATCTTCTAATTAGTTATTTTAATCATTTTTAATATGTGAATTTTAATGAATCAATAAAGAGCCGTCACTCTCTATCTATTAATATAATTAATCAATCAGTTATGGGCTAACATCTAAAATCACACCACAAATATTTAATTTAAGGATTTAAGAAAAATCTGCTAACATACCCTCCTCTACAGGGCATTATTATCTTAATAAATAACATTTATTAATTATGGTATTCACAACTAGCCTTTTTTGCTTATATACAAATACTATATTTATCATATATCAATCATATCATTTTCTCTAGGCAAGTAAATATCATGTACGAAATATAATAATATATGAAATACTGAAAAATTTATACACTATTCATTAACTTCAATAAATCATAAGTATCAATTTATGCAGTGAAAATATAATATATTTATGTCAACATGTAGAGAATGATTAAAACTATAACATACTACAAGTTACACTGTAGATAGGTTTGCTAAAAATCAAGATATTACAACTTTTGTAAATTATGAACAAATTAAAATTAAGTAAACACAAAATAAGAAAAATCATTGAAATCATAGGTAGGAAAATAATAGCTTGTCTTGAGATGAGCAAATTTTTTAACTTGAGCGACTGATAAAAACAACTCTAAGACCTTCAAATCTAACTCTCTCCTCTCCTCCCTATTTCTCCCTTAATTTATCTCTTCCCCTTCTCTAGCTTGAGAAAATGAAAATGGAATGGAAATGTGATTTTGATACGTTTTGATATGGGGTATTTAGATTTTTTTTTATAATAAAATATCTTGAGGAAATAAAAGTAATTATGCTGATGTTTAGATTTTAAGCATAAAATCTTTATAAATCTTTTTATATCTTCAATTCTAGAGCTCTAAAAATTATAAAAAATATTCATAAAATAGTCTAATATGTCTAGAAAGTTCTAGTAAAATCGATTTGTAAAAAAAAAAAAAAACTTAATGGTCTTAAAATACTCACTTGTATCAATATATGTTAATTTCTTGAAGAATTACAACACTACCTATAAAATTGGAGAAAATTATTATAATTAAATCATAATAATATTTATGTTATTACAAATACGGTTTAAAAAATAGATTTATAATAACTCCTAAAATATTATTTGACTATTAAATATGTGTTATTACAAATCATCCATAAAATAATGGCTAAATTAATTGGTGAATTTTATTAGGGTGCACCTTTTGTGTGAATTCAATGTACAATGATTAAATACATTGGATTAACGTGTGTCGTATATCTAGTTCACTTTAAACAAGTTAATCCATAATTTAATAAGTTCATCTCAATTCAAGGCATGCCATGGACATTTAAATATTTATCTAAAAGTATGTTTGACTTATGGTTCTTTGTCGAAGAAATAAATAACATCAAGAACTGAGATGAAGGGCTTAATAGACCCTAAAACGCTTTTTGGACATTCATATTTACTCCAAGATAGAGATACACCTCTAGAAGATGCGACATATTTATAAGAGTTGGCATGATTGATGTTGATTAGGTAAATAAGTTTTATTAAATATATCCCATATGTCGCCATATTAATAAATAGAGATTAAAAGGTTAAGGAAAAAAAAAACTAATTATATGCGGCCTATTCAAAATCTTGAAATAGGTCAAGGATAATGTTAACTTATTGCACATTCTCATTTAGAGATCTATGTAATGGTGAATATAAAACTTTTGAAGTCATTTGAGCCTTCAAAACTAGATGACTAAGTTTACAAAGTCTTACTCCCCTCTTAATGACGCACTATTAGGCTAAGAGTATTATCTAAAGAAGAACAAACTCTTACAAAAATAAAAAGAACTAATGTCATTTGTAGAAGTGTTGTAAAAAACGACAAAAAAGGGAGGGTGGAATCTAAGTTAGACTAGAATTGAGAGAGAGAGAAACTAGAATATATCATTTGATAGAGCTTAATTCTCACGAGTGAATCCCTCCTAAACAGGGTGTGTATGCTATTGTGATCAATTACTCGATATATATGAATTAGCGCCAATGTGATGTGAAGGTTTAGGAAACATACAGGAGGGTCTATCATGTTTTAGGGAGGATATCGAGCTAGGATCATTATTATCATAAGTAGAGCTTTATAGAGTGTTGTTAAGTTGAGGCCTTAAGATTCAAAGGCTAAAGGAGATTTGAAAGATGTAGATTCCAAAGAGGTTTCTAAAAGGCACATGAGAGACAAGCCAACTTCACAGCCAAGAAAATTTGATCACTTAGTAATGTTGTCAACCTATAAATGTCATTCCATGATTGCGTTGTTATTAGTGGGTGTCATACCTTATAACTTCCTCAATTAAAGTCATAACTTTTTATAATAAATGTATGATAGCTTATGTGCCATGTTACAATGTAGCTATGTTATAATTAACTCGCCATCTCCTTATAGAGGAAGGTTGGATAAGGGTTACGGGTGATAAGTCTATCTAAGACAAGTCTGCTATGACTTTTCTTCTTATTTATGAGAGGATATACAATGCATAAAGTCTTGATACTTCGGAGAAAGTGTGGAGTCAGAGAGTATGAAAGAGGATTCAAGGAAGTGCTTCTTCCTCATTCTTGTATATTGCCTAATTTTCTCAATTAATAAAACTACAAGGTTGATTTTTTTACCCCACACATAAAACTCATAATACTTCACTGTACTCTATGTCCTTCATTGGTTCATAAATCAAGGCACTCCTTTTTGCTCATCATCACTGATATAAGCATAATCTGTCATCAGATCTAATGTTAGTTGACCCTAAAATATATACTTTTTATAGTCATATTTCTATGATATATTCATTTAATTTCTTTTTTTAATATTATTAATTTGAAAATTTATTGGCCTTTGAATGGGCTAAAAATTATTCAAAGGCCAATAAATTATTTTCTTGCAATATCCAAATAGCCTATTGTTATCTCAAAATAAACTTAGAACTACTAATCATATTCTAATATAAATTTGGGGAGGATGTCCTTACATAATCTCTTCGTTAAACAAAGCTGTTCAAGGTAGGTTGCACCGTTTATGAAAGTTGGTGTTTGTTCTGTCTTGCCGCTCTCTCCAGGTCCCACAAGCTCATTCCACAAAATTCCTCACCCGCAACCGAAGGGGATGGATTCCTCGCATTCTCTTGTGAATGGTACCTAAAACCCTAATCTCCTATCCCGTTTTTGTTTTCCATTCTGATAAGGGTTTCTTAGGCCGCCGTTTTCTTTCCAAATTTGTAGATTCTTCTTCTTATCTTCGGATTTAGCCGCGAGTAAGAGTTGTTTCTACCTGGGTATCCGAAAAACCCTTAACCATTTAGGCACCGTTGCGAAGCTCGGTCTGGGAGGTGGAGGGCTTTGTCGATCCGAATGGAAGCTACCGTCAGCAACGGCGGGTCCCTTCCCGTGCCTTCGGCCCAGCATCCACCCAGGAAGGAATGGCGCACCGTATCCGAGCACTCGTTTCATAACAATGGAGGCGAAGTAAGGAGGACTTACTGCTTCATTTTCAGCCATTATCATGTCTGAATTTCTTTGTTAATGTATGGTTTTCTTGCAGGAGATGGAGCACGTTAAGTTTGGGCAGTCCGACGAAAGAACGATATATGAGGTATGCACCGGGTAGTAAAAAGAAGTTCTATATTTGTTTTTGTACTTGCATTCTACTGAGTGCGAATGATGGCTTTTCGGGATAAACGTTGATTGCGGGAAGGTACAGGAAGTCACCGGACCACTTGACGTGGATTTCTGCTCGATCACAATCGATGGTGGGGGGCTGACGGACAAGACATTGCAAGGTCGTCTTCAGGAGGTTTCTAGGCAGAGGGAGGAACTGGAACATTTGGAAACGGAGCTAAGGGCTCAGGCAATTGCCAGGACTGAGACAATGGAGATGCAGAGAAGGTACCAGTCACAGATACGGGAGCATGTTGATGCAACTGCACAGCTAAAGGTTCTGATGCATTTATAGTTACGCAGCATTATTGCCTTGCATTTCTTCTTTTTCTGTGGTATTGCATTATTCCCTAAACTTGAAAGTGGAAGCTCTTTAGGAACTTATTAGTCTCTCTGGCAGACATTGTGCTTGTTATGCAATTGGTTCTTATTGGCTTGGATTCTATCTAAGTATGGTTTTTTGTTAGTTTGTTTATTTGTACTGTAGTTATGTCTGGGAGATTGATGATTTGCATTCTGATAAGCCAGCATGTTAATTTAGTTCAGGTAATTTGATCTTAAAGGAGATTCTGAACACCTGAAGCTTTTTCGTCAGCTGAGGGATTTGAAGTGCTTTTAATTTATAACGTATTTTCAGATATGTCTTGGCAAGTTTGCTGAAAAAAATCCTCTTTTTCCTCTCTCTCACACACACACACACTAATAAAGTGATATATACCATTCAGTTGAATGATTTACATTTGTCTAAATAACTTTCAGAAGACGCATTCTTTAAGAATACAATTGTATCTAATATAAAGGAAAGGACAATGGATGGATGCAACAAGTTGATTTTGCTTATGGTTCCTTGTTCAGAAAGGCGTTTGGGCTACCAAAGTGATAGTGTATTGTAAGTATTGTGGATCAAGTATGTTCGGCACTACGTTTTGACAATGTAACGGTGATTAGTCACCCTTTAAGGGAAATAAACGAATGGATTTTTCTTTCATAGGTAAGTGAGAAATATGCAGCCCATGGAATTAGTGAAAAGTAGTTTTGTGATTCTCTTAAGATTTAAATGAGAGTTATGTGGCTTGAAGGAATTTTGAACAAAGCTAGCATTATAATCAATTTATTAGTGTGTTATGATATATTAAATAATTTTGAGAATTGGGAAAAAAGAATTTACCTCATTAGCCCTTTGATGCTGTCTCTTGGTTTTTTGTTTTGATGTGGATGCCCCTTTTCTTCTATTACATCGAAAGAGTTGGTACCTCTTTAGGATTTTCTTATGAGGATGTAAGCAAATTAATGTATATAATGCATCATATGATTTGATTGCACGTATCAATAAAATTAGGAGTGATGGCAGGGCCTAACAAGGTATAGTATATGATAAGATCCATGGTTTATATTACAATTATTTACTGCCACATCCTATAGGCAATGAATATTGGCTAAGCCAATAGCGCTGTGTGTGTATATATATTATGTATTATTTCCCGCATGACATGTGTTTGTATGTAGGGTATATGAGCAAGAGTTCCACTTTCAACTAAATGATTCTCTTAGATATTAATCTTATAACTCACAAGTCATAATCACATGAAAATTCTAAAAATAGATGGAAAAAATAACAATACAAACTCCCTCGAAGTGAGTAGGGCATGTCAGGAACTTCTATGCTTCTATTATACCATAATGTGGATGTAATCATCAAATGCCTTGTATTATGAGTGCATCTTTATCATTTTAAAATTTTTAAATTTTGTATGTTGATTGCATATTCATTATATGTTGGTGATTTATTCAAGCAAATATTGATATAGTAGTATTTAGGAATTTCATACTTAGATGGCTGCTACTATTCCATTGATAGGATGAGCTTGGTTCACTATTTAAAATTACGCAATATGAGGTACACCTTAGTGCTGGTTGGACCCAAAACACCTTGAGGGGTCACTTCTAAAATTCAAGTGAAGTATGCCTCAAATTTGGTGAGGTATGCCTTGCCTCATTTTACATGAGAATGCCATTCCATTCAATATGGCTATCTCCCCTTCTTATTTCAATATGGTTAATTCTATAGGTGCTTATAGTTGAGATTTGAAACTCCCATCCATGTATGACTTGAGGTCTTGAGTGTTGAAGGAGTTAAGTAATATAGAGAACGTTGTTGAGGAAGTTAGATGGAGTTGGAGTTAGGCTGGAGTAATAATCATGTATGATAGACCACATGATAGCTGGTCTGATGTTAAGAATAGAAGCTTGATTAATATTTTGATAAATAATTCCCATGAAATTATTTACTTAAAATCTATAGAAGCATCTGAACATGTGTATGATGCATAGTACATTTTTGGAATATTTGTGAGTGATAGATGAGATTGGAGTGCATTTGGTGGTATAAGTTGTGATAAATAATGCTAGTGCTTATTGGGACTAGGTTGATGGAGAAGGAAAAACATCTATACTGAACATCCTGTGCCACACACTGTATAGATCTTATTCTAGAAAGCTTGGCGCTTGCCTCAGCATAAGAATATCCTGACAGAAGCAGAGAAGATCAAAAAATTCATCGACAATCATTATTGAATTTTAGCTTTGACATTGCAAAATATGTTAGAAGTTAGACAACCGTTGAAGGCTATGTTTACTTTCTACTTAATGGTTTAATTGTGCTTGGGCTAACAAAGCTGAGGGGAAAGAAGTTAAAAAGATTGTTTTAAATGAAAGATTCTAGTTGAGTGTCGCATATGCAAGAACAACAACAAATCTATTGGTTCAAGTTTTGAGGATGGTGGATATAGAGAAAAATCCATCTATGGGCTTCATTTTCAATGCAATGAATGAGGTCATTTTTTCCATTTTACCCCTAGGGGTGATCATGTGGTGTTGTAGCTCGAAGGGCATTTTAGTCATTATTTTTTTTCTTTTCATGAGGTCTATTTATAGGCTATCTCTTGTAGTTTGGATGATGATGATTATGAAATAAATTTCAGTTTTCTTAATGATCTCTTTGTGATTTCTTGAGAGGAGCAACTCTAGGAGAGGGTCAAGCAATACCCATTAGCCGTCGGTGGAATCCGAGACTCGCGGTTAGCATTCCTTTTGATCTATTAGTTTTCCTCCCCACGCTCTCAACAACCGGCCATGCTCCTTGCAAGGCCCACCGCCGGCCACCTCCTCCCCTCCTCACCAAAACCGTCGACCTCCCTCTCTTAAACCCCCACCACCTCCTACCCAAGCCCCACCAACTTCGCCAGCGTCTCCTCCTCCCTTTGCTAAACCCATGGCAAGTTTTCCCCCTTCTTCTTAGCCGCCGACCACCCTAGGGTTGAATGGGGAGTTCCATGCAATTTGCTTCTCCATTGCTTCCCTAAATTATCCGGAATTAATTTGGAAAAAATTTTAATTTGAATTCAAATTTATTTGAATTTCAAAACATTCCCTTATTAATACATTTAATTTAGGAAACCACTTATGGCCCCAAATCTGAATCTATTCTCAGATTTTTAAATTTGTCAATCACCCATTATTTCTTTTGAATTTTGAAGTTAAAATTCAAATCCGCTTTACTTACTTTCCTAATTTCCCACCCTATTAATTTGGAAAGTTACATCATTGGAATTCAAATCTATATTCGAATTCAAAAGCTTTCCCTATTAATAAATCCAAATTAGGAAACCTCCCAATTTTATTAAATATGAAATCAATGTCAGATTTAATGAAAATCATTAATTAAATCATCCCGAGCCCACATACATTGAACCTAGACATCTCAAACCCATCCCCATATGGCCGGCCTACTCCCCCCCTCCTCTTTTTCTCTCCCCAATCTAGTCATTAACTCATGATTAAACTTTCCCTAAATCCCTCCCTCTTGCCTTGGACCCGCCGCCCCCTTCCCCCTATCTCTTCCCTTCCTCTACGGAACACCCATTTATCAAAAGGTTCAGTTTTCCCCTGCTGTCCCAGAATTCCAGCCAAGGGAAATCTGGATTCCTGCCGCCTAAAACCTCCAAACTGCGGGCTGCTCTTTTATAACATGCTGTCCAACTGTTTAGGCCCAAACCCTTGCTGTCCTGAGGAGTTTCCATGGTCAAAACTACTGTCCAAGGAAACTGGACTGCTGTCCGTTGATTTCTGAAGGCTTCACAGCACCGTATCTTTCATCCGGAAGACTCCGACTGCTGTCCACCTCTTCCCCAGCATTCAAACAACCTTGCCAGAGTGCGTATCTCTCTTGTCTTTGGGTAAACTCGACACCCGACTCTCTATTTTCATAGTTGCATCCTTTATTGTGGTTTTATTACATTCATGAAGATCATGTTAATGCTCTTCCGCTAAAGCCTAGTAAATTATAGAGTTGTGTGAGGGATCCTTCATCGTACTAATCTCATTATTAGTGTAGGGATTTCTTGTTGAAACTTTCCATGTATGGAATGTTCGATTAATTGAATGTTTTACGGTCTTAACTCACATGCATGTGATTTAGCCTAAACTTGTCTTACTGCTCTTTGTGTTTTCATTTGTCGTTCAAAATCAATACAAAGATATAATTATTGTGGTTTCTAAAATTAAGCGTGCAAACTCCCTAAGTTAATCATCCTTGCATGTATGTTTCACATCATGATTACTCATGATTAGGGAAGAGAAAGTTGATTGAGATTGAAGAAGAGGAGGAAGATTTAGACAATTTAGACTCCACTGAAGATGAGGCGGGGAGAAAGTTGTTCATTATGATGACGACTCAAATGTGAAGACCCCTTGAGTGTTGAGAATATTGAAAACTTTTGATTGCTTGTTTTATTTTTAATTGGATCATTTGCTGTTGTCGTGTTGGATAGGAGAGAGGGAGAAACTTATTGTGCATAATTTATTTGAAGTCTTTGATTTGACATTTTATTTTGAATTCATTTGATATCTTATGTTATTTGATTACTTGATGTTTGCATTACACTTCTACTTTGCTCATTTTGTTACTTTGTACTTTGCAATTTGTTACTTGATGTTATATGCAAAGTGTTACTTCTTGTTTTGTTAGAATGTTAACATGCCATTTTTTTAATATATTAAGAGGTTATGATGGTGATATATTGCTTCTAATTTCTTGTTGACTTTACACAATTTTTCGATTGTCAGGCTTATGCCCACCGACGGATGTAAATACTTCAATAACCAATTACATAATTTCAAATCATGACTTTGTTGCTTCATGCACAATGCACCCAATCACAATAAAATTTCCATACACTATCAAGTGAAGGTATAATGTAGGCGCGATAGTTTTGCTAGCTATTCCATTGATAGTCTGAGCGTGGTTAAACTCTGCATGTACAAGAACAACACCCATATGCTACATGATTTCTATACACTATCATGTGAGGGTTCAGTACTCTTGTATTAATTTAGGGAGAAGTATTTGCTCTTTATTATTATTATTTTTTCTTTTTTGTCTTGTGTTTTTCAAGTTGAAGCTCTTGTTTTCTACAATATAAGGTGGCTTACTTTGACTTTTTCTCTCAAAATCGCTTTCCCATATTTTTTTTTTCACTTTCAGTGAGTATTGGTTGTCACCCGTGAACATTAATCTTGTTGGTTGCTGCAAGGCTTTGATTTACAGAATAGTGAGCCAGGAGTTATGCTGTCCGAGTTAGTGGCGGGTTAAAACTGTAAAATTTTTTGGGGGCACTAACTGTTCGCTATTTCTTAATAAATTAATAGTGCTTGTTGTCCAAACCTTTTTATCGCCATAGGTTTTCCAAATTATATCTTTGGAAGGCATTGAAAATATGTGAGAATAGTGATGTCGCAAAAGACCAATGTTCGTTGTTTCTTTTCCTTAAGAGTCTATATTTTATTGTGTAAGCCATCGACAAAGAATCTTATTTTTTATTTCCCCTGGATAGTTTTGGTGAAGGAGGATTTTTAAAGCAAGCTACACATAGTTTGGATCAGGCTAAAATAATGATGATGAAGCCATCTGTGAAGAGAGTTTTATAATTCTGAGCTTATATTGTGCTTATTCTGTAAATTTTGTAACCTAAGTCTTTTTTCTTATGTTTTCAATGGCAACAATTTGGCCCTATCATAATGTAAGAATTGATTTTCCAATAGAACTTATTTTTTATGATGATTCCTGATATTTGCAACCATTTTGCAGGACCTAATAAAACAAAAAGAGCAAGAAATATCTGAATTAAAGGCGACATTGGAAGAGAAGGACAGAGAATTACGTTCAGTTAAGATAGACAATGAAGCGGTCTGTTTTTCCCTCCTGTTTCATTTCATTGTTTATCAGCATTTGACCTTGCTTTGAGACAAACAAGTAGCGCTTCTTGTGTTGTGTAGGTTTGGGCTAAAGAGGACCTCCTTAGGGAACAAAATAAAGAGCTAGCTACCTTCAGGTATATTTTATATTAACTTTTTCTTACTGTTTTTAATCGAACCAAATGATTTATTGTTAGAAATTTAGACTCAAGTATTTTGAACTTTGGCTATTTGTGGCATTTGAACCATACGATACAAACTTTAGAATGGAAACATTTTGAATTGGTCTCATTACTTTGCAGTCCTTTAATATTTTATATTTTCTATGTTTGTGCAGTTATCATTGTTATGTTGATTTCTTATGAGATCTTTTGTATAACATACCATCTTTTTCTCACTGTTATGAAGTCCTTTTTTAATTTATTCAGGAAGATCAATCCTTAGTTAATCTTACTATTGATATCACAGGTAATGTTACAATTGTTATTGTATATTTTAGGTATCCTTCAACTGACATGATTATCATTCTCATCTATGTTGTGCTTTCTACATCTTTCCTTTTCTTCAATAAGGCAATTGTATTATCTTTGCTATCATATTGATTTACTGCATGCAAAGCACCTAATGGGCAAGGGGTGCTTATTATTTTTTTGCATATTTCATCATCATCATTAGCCTTATCCTATGTAGCACCGATACGGATACGACGACACGGATACGACACGATACGGATACGGGACACGTCAATTCTTAAAAATATAGGATACAGGTACGGCGCGGACACGACATTATAATTTATAAATCATACATAAAAATTAAGTAACCAATCAAAGCATAATAATTGAAATGACAAAAAAGAAAAAAAAAAGACAACAATATCATTTGTAGCCTTGTAGCTTATAACATCAAAATATAAGCATTAAATGTCTTGTACAACAACAAAAGCATAAACATAAATTATCTAGCACATGAAGTTTCAACTATTCAATAGAAGGAATGATATAATTATCTTCTTCATTGGTTTGTCTTGAACTTTTATATCATCTTCAATAAATATCATAGCTTCTAATTCAGGCTCATCAAGTGAACACTTAAAAAAAAAGGCTCATCAAGTGAAAGATTAGTAATTTTTAATATTTTTATATCATCAAGAGACTCAAATCCATCTCGGAAAAGAGAGAATCTTGCTCGCAACCGCGGAAGTAAATACGACACGTCTTTTTTTCGGATTTTTTTTTTTGTTTTTCAACGGACGTGTACATTTGAAATTAAATAGTATTTTAATTGATACGGCTTTGGCGTATCCGACACGTATCGGTGGAGTATCGGAGGCGTATCGGTGTATCGGATACGGCACGCCTTCATAAATAGGTGTATCAGTGCAACATAGGCCTTATCCCAATTATTTGGGATCTACGGTCATTTCCTTTGATGCAGGAAATGACAATCATTCATATCATACATATTAGCTTTTAATGACGCATTCCACTTTCAATCTGACATTCATTGAAAAAAATTATACTTTTAACTAATGAGTTACTTTTTCATACTTGTAAAAGCTATTACTTGTTCTAACTTTTCCAGCTTTTTCTTGTTGTATTTTTTACTTGGTATGATATTTGTGGAATCTTCAACATCAAGGATTAGTGATTTCACTGAAAACAATCTCTCTATGGTTATCAAATATATATATATATATATATTTCCATTCTGCCAAACAGTTATAAGAAATTCAATTACATTGAAGATATGATAAACCTGCTGGCTGGAATTGAAATGCATTACATATTTGTATTGAAGGAGAGAACTTGATAACTCCGAAGTTGAAAGAGCCCAGCTTGTAAAGCAAATTCATGATCTCCAAGAACATGTACGTGAGAAGGAGAGCCAGTTTCTTGCATTGGAAGAGCAGGTTTCAACTATTATTCTTCTGTTTCTATTTTTCCTGTTGGTTAAGGATTTTACATTACTTTAAAGGTGACTGACTATTCATTCTTGTAAAACCCATGTCTAAAATTAATTTGTTGCATCTACCAGTCAATACATCCTTCTGAGATTCTTTTTTTGAGAATGCTATATTCCATTTATTAAATTTCTTTCTTGTATTACTGACGCTAAATCTTTAGTATTTGTTAAAAGATTTTCAAATTAAAGCTAGATTTCCAACCCGATGTGTTATGCGCATCAGTCTTTTGAGAGTTTGCAGATGATATTTGTTTCATGAGTGTATATTCAAGAACTTTTGCCCATTTCGAAACCTTGACATTGCCTACTTGGACCTTAATGAACAAAGATCATATGTGGGATTCTTTTTAAATACATTTTTGTTTTAAGGATGATATTTTTGTAGTTCTCATATCTTCTTATGAATTGCATCCTTTTTGGTTGCATCTATAGCTTTGTAGTCTTTCCTCTTTACCATCAGCAACTATTTACTTATATTAAATGCAACCTAATTCCACATCATCCTTCACATAATTCTTTATTTATTTATTTTGTGAAGTGATTTCTATGCTTTAGACATTTTTGATAGTGTACATTGAATTGATTTGGTGAGCTAAGGAGGAAGGTGTTAGACTGGCCCTTCCTGGGCCGGTTGAACTGGTCCTTAGTGGACCGGTTTTAACCTACACCAGGCTGCCTAAGTGTTGGGCGGAAGCTGGGAAGGGAGAAAGGGAGGGTGCTGATGATGCTAGGGGGCCCACATGCTAATTAAAATTGCTTGGGAGGAAAATTTTGAATTAGGGGGGCTATTTGGGAAAGTTGTAATTGTCCTTTGTTTTTAATTAGCTCTTTTGGAGAGGATTAGGGCTTCATCTTGAATTTGAAATCTGATTTGAGATCTAGGGTTTGTGTTTTTGGGCTCTAGGATTTGCTAGATAATTGGAGAGTTGTTTCTTCCTCTCGAATTGAAGAAACTTGTATCTTGTATTGCTTTTCTTGTTCGTGGATTGGATATAAGAAGTTTTTCTTGTGTTTCTCTCCAATATCCTAAAATTCCTGCATCGTTTTTGTTGTTTCTCTCTGAAATCAATATATTTATCGCTATTTTTATCGATTATTGCTAAGTTTTCTTGCGAACTCAAGTATTTCCCTCAGGGTTACTTGCGAACTCAAGTATTTCTCTTAGGGTTACTTGTGAACTCAAGTATTTCCTATTAAATTGGTATCAGAGCGTTGTCTTGGGACCATCGGCGGCTAAAATCCTGAAATTTCATCGAAGAAAGCTCATTCAGAAGCAGATATTCTCGTAAATCTTGAGAAGAAAGGTGGTCGGGAAGAAGGTTGAAGTCTTGGAAGGCGAAATAAAATCAGATTTGGAGGAAAAATTTTATGATTTTCAAAATCAGATTTCATCCAATAATGAAAAGATAGAAGAGAAGTTCGCCTTGATGGAGGAGATGTTGAAGAAATTACTAGAAGTGAATATTAATCCGACGACATCAAAAGCAAGAGACGGCATCAAAAGCAAGAGATACCACCGACGACAATGGGAGAGGAGGGAATCTGAAGCCGTTTAGGGGGAGGGAAAATATGGAAGTGGAGATCCTTGAGGGAGAGGACGACATGCCACTTCTAGAACCATTTTCTAGGGAGGAGATGAGCATGGGATACGAAAAGAGGGGTGCTGATTTTGTTGGGAGAAGAATATATTTCTACCACCGATGTGGAAAGAAGAAGAGGGGAAGTTGATGAAGGATATGGTTATGATTGTTGCAAATTTGGATTCAATAATTATAATTTTGATGATAACAAACATTCCTGACATTTCTGTTTCTTTACTATTGTTACTACTGCACATCTGTTTTGGTTACCATGTTTACTAATTTTTTAGGTCCACAAGATCAATTGCAATTCAAGCCAGCTCAAGATTGGGTAGATTAGGACTAAGTCAGTCTGTAATTTTAATCCTAGTGGTTTTTACTTTCTCTTGAGTTAAATGTAATAAGGTGAATCCTGATACTAAGTAACCTTGTACATACACACTCAGGGGAATAAATTCTATAAGTTTAAGAGTTTTCTATTTTTGATCATATCATACAGGACCATCCAAAATCGTTCTGGACGATCAGTTAAAAATAGAAACCCTAATCAAGGCATCTGCATGAAATCAATCGGATTAAGCAAATCGTCATGGACGATATTCACATCGTTATGGATGATATGCTCAAATAAAAAATTCTCTGCCGCCAAACTCATTTAAGTAAGATTTTATTTTTATAATTTTGAACTAATCGTATATGATGATCACATATCGTCCTAGACGATTCATTACAATCATGCCTAAATTAGTCAGGTGATTAAGAAAAGTAATTAAGGTTAGATTGATTGATCATATCGTCCTGGACGATCGCAGGACCGTCCTGGATGATCAGTAAGAAAAACCTTAGTTTTTTCCTGAATCACCTAGACATCCAGAACTATATGCTGGACGATCATTTAAAATTCTTTGTCGTTCAGTTGTATCACATGGACGACCCGAACTATCTGCTGGACGATAATCACTGATTTTGAACTTATCGTACATGATGATACAAACATCGTCCTGGACGATAAGTTATATTTCTTCATCGTCCAACATGTATATCCTGACGTCCCGAACTATGTGCTAGATGATATGTATGATTTTGAACTAATCGTATAGGATGGTGTCCACATCGTCCTGGACTATCAAAATAAACAATGTGTTCTAATCATACAACACACTTAGATCGTCTTGGGTGAAATAGATGAAATTCATTGATTGTATAGGACGATCTGTCGATCTTCCTGTATGATCTTTGACGACAAGTTGCAAATTGGGGCAATTTTTAAGGCCTTCTTTATAAGATCTTTTATTTATTAATGAGATGATCTTTTGCTGTTATCCTGATCTGAGAAACCTTAGAGAAGGATAGGGAGAGCTTGGGAGAGAGAGAGATGATCTTATAAAGGGAGTTTGTGAGGTGTTCACAAAGGTTGCTCCAAGCAAGGATTCGAGTCATCTTCTTCAATCGTCGTCCCTGGTTCCTTGGTGGCTTTAGGGAGGTCTTCATCAGCACTAGATCAAGGTTCTTTGTCTGCTTCAGGAGGAAGCAAAAGGATTCTGGGTTCTCTGCCTCACCCAGGTCGGTGAAAAGGATTTTGTAAAGGCTTCTCCGCCGTGCTGTGGGAGCAAAAAAGGAGAGTCACTATGGTTTTAATGCAATACCTGGAAGAGAGGCTCCGTGGAGCGGACGTAGGTCGAGTTGACTGAACCACTATAAAATCTGATGTGTTCTTTCTTATTACTGTTCCTCATTTTAATTTCTGCACTTTAATTTCTTTTGGATGATTAAAGTCTTTGGTTTGTTTTGTTAATCGCCTCTGCATCAAAGGTTAATCGTGTTTGTTTTGAAGGTTTCAAAAAGATTTTGCTTTTTGTTTAAAAAATTTTAAAACTATCAATTCACCTCCCTCTCGGTTAGCCTCAGGCTAGTTCATAAGGGCTTAACAACCCTAACGAACTTTCAAGTGGTATCAGAGCTCTCTCAAGTCCTTAAAGATATCAAGTGACACATGAATTCTTGCACGTGCATGTGTAGATTGTGTTTTGCCTTTGTGCGGCAAACCATGTAATATGTGTCATTTTTAGATAATTTCAAAGTTTTCGATGTGTCGACATGATCCTTATGTGCGACGTTGCATCCTTAGTCCGTCATTTTTTATCGTGCAGATATTTAATAACACGAGATGTCAGTTTTGGGTTTTTCTAGTATCTTGAACACCATATGATTCAATTTCTGAAGATGTGGTGTCCACCGTTTACCAATTTTCTCGTATTCACTTGAATTGAGCCGAAGATTTTTTTTCATGATTTTGACACTTTGGCAGCGTCAATGCAATATGTTTTGCAAAAAGAAGGTGTTCGAGTGGTTTTTGTCGCAGTCGATGTGTTTTTGAAATTGATTCGTGCAATGTCACATTAGCTAGCTGTTGTTCTTCTTGTATTTTATCGAATTGGTCATGAGACACATATGATGATCAGCATTATATTTATGATATCTAAAATTGCGCAATATGAGGCTCGCCTTTTACGCAATTCCAGTAAAAAACGCCTCGATGCTTACGCCTCGAGTTTTTTTTATGAGGCTTGCGCCTCAACTTGGTTGAGGCCCGCCTCGCCTCACTGGCATGAGGCTTATGCCTCACGCATATATATATTAAAAACTAACATAAATCTTTGAAGTAAATGCCCGACATTGGAACTCTATAGGAGAGAGAGAAGGGGAGAGAGCAGTTCTATCATAATGATGATTCAAATGAAAAACCCCTTAGTGATGACAGTGCTGATGACTTATGAGTTCTTATGTGATATGTCATTGCTATTTATTTTTGCGAAATTGAAATTATATTTTAATGAAAATAATAATGAGATTTGGGAAAGATAGAATTTTGAGTTGAACTATATTTCATGTTGTCTTATTATTGGGATATTTTGATTTCACTTCATATCTTATGCTTTTTTATGTTTTATATTATTCATTCATTAGTATATTAAAAAATTATCATTTTATGTTTACGCAATCTTTTGATTTTGAGGCTTACGCCTCAAAACGCCTTGAGGCTTATGCCTCGCCTCACGAATGAAAAACGCCTCAATACCCGAATACGCAATTTTAAACATTGGTATGATGTAATAATTACCAACACATTTATTTCCAATTATTGTGGGATTAAATCAATTTTTGGTGTTAAGTGTCTATTTTCTATGTAGTTTATAAAGATGCTTGCATAAAATACTCAAAGGCACCTTGGTGCATGCTTATTATAAATGATGTAATTCTTATGGGTGTGATACCATTTTTTAAGTAGTTGAAATATTCAATTAATGGTGAAAATTTTTAAAAATAAGGGACCTACGGTTAAATAAATATTGAGTGCACGATAGGC